TTTTCTTCATTTAAGCACGAAGATTTTTTAGTATATTTGGTAAGAAGCAACTCAACACATCATTAATTTAGTGTAAGTAGCGGCGTTTTAGCCAACACTGTGATTGTTTTCGAAATGTTCTGAAGTTTGTAAATCCCATCAGCCGTGTTAACATGTGTTAAGAGACACGCTGGCACTTAAAACGTAGTTAAGAAAGACTAAAAGATTAAAAACTACTTTGCTTTACATTCACAGCTTCACAGAAGAAACATAACGATGCTGACGTCATTTAATTTTTTCTGTGTATTTTCGACAAACTGACTCTATAATTAGCTTGAAATGAACATCGAATTCTGCACGCTTACATGGCACTTGGGTGGCATCACGTTTTATTTAACTACCAAGACGAGACTTAATTTTCAACGGCAAAACTCTCCAGGTGTATAGTTTGGTAAATGAGCTCTCGTCTGATATGGTTTTAATGTCGAAAGTTTAGGTACCAGGTGTCGTTTAAACCGGTAAAACTTAGCCTTCATTTTGTCTCCTAAAATGGCGTGCAAAATACACCTTCATAAAAACGGCGATAAAACCCATACCAAAGAGAATTACAAGAAACTTTTTATATGCTTTTAGTTTGCAGTGATATTATAGTTACTGTGCAAAGTTTGATGGTGAATGGACTTGTTTGGCGCTGCCAACATTTTTCTAAAGTTGCGTGACGATTTGACCGTTTAGGCAAGGCGAAAACGGCTTTTTTAACGAATTTTCAAACTTTTTTAAATTTCAGCCGGAAAGAAATCGCTGCAACTTTAAAATATTTTTTTCGAAACTAGTCGACAGAAAGGGATGTTTTGGCAAAATAAAAAGAAATTCGATTTTTCGTCACTGATTTTCGATTCTCGAAATATTCTGGCGGCCTCTTAAAGATTTGCAACGAGCCCATTTTGACGGAGTACTTGAAAAGATTTCTTATGTCGATAAGGAAAAGGTCGATGACTCAGAATCTGGTTTTTTTTTTTTTTCATTTATCAATGAAGTCTACTTTCCTTTTCAGTAAAGGCCTATTTTGTTTTTGTAATAAACAAAATAATGCGTGGTTGTATCTCCACATGGACTCTCGTGTTCAACTCAACATGTCACCGTGAGATCGCTGCACTCGCTCGTGAGCTATTGAGTTGAACACTCGAGGAGAAATTTCATATCTAAGCGCGCCCATGTTTTAACGTCTCTTTAGTCATTATTTTGTATAACACATGGAAAACACCGGGTTTTGGTGAAAAAAACTTATGAGATGAATTGTTTTGCAAACCAGGGAGAGGGAAACACTTGCGATGGAACCCTAATGAGCTTCATTTCCGGTTTAACGTTTGGTTAGACTTCAAAATCCTGGTTAATACAGTTAACTCTTGGTAAATTTTGATCCAATTTTCGTTTGAAATCCCCAAAACCTCGCTTGTTACCAATAATTAGCTAAAAAGGTAACCTGATTTGACAGATTTCAAGAACGGTACTACACAAATCTGCAATCAGTGGTCGATACGAGATGGTTAAAGTGCTTCTTGAATGTGGAGAAGAAGTGGACCAGACAGATGAGGTTGCTTTCTTTATTTATGAATTTTTTTTTTTTCTAGTATAATTTGTCATCGTTCTTTTATTTCTGTCAGGTTTTTTGCTAATAAGTATTGAACCTGTGTCCAATGCTTTTGTTTTTCAGTTTGATTTGACGCCTCTTCACCTTGCTGCATGGTACGGACAGCTGGATGTTGTTCAACTGTTGTTGCAACATGGTGCAAATGTCCACGCTGTAGATAGAGTAAGTTGCTGACAATATATTTTTTTCTAATTGACTTGTTGATGATATTGTGGTTGTATTCCAGGTACATATATGTAACAGAAAATTCCTTTTTTTAGTGCTGTATTTATTTAGATCATTTTTACTGTTGATACTCTCGACTGTTATATCGGTCGATATATATATCGAGAGTTGGTCGATACTCGACCGATATGTCTGCCGTTCGACACTTGGTCCACACTTGGTCGACACTCGGTCGATACTCGTTCGACACTCGGTTGACAATCGGTCGATAATCGGTCGACAACCAGGCGATAGTCGGTCGATACAGCGACAAACTATCGACCGAGTGTCAGTCGATATTTCGTAGACGCATCTCGATGAGTACCGGTCATATCTCGTTGATATAAAGGTCAACTGTCAGTGACCTATCGGTCAACTGTTGGTGGAATATCAGTTATGTGTTCAACATCAATCAAGTGTGTTGAGTTTAATGGCTTTCTTTTAAGCGATGAAGTCATCAGTTAATGATATCATACAATGCGCTATGAGGGTAAATGTTTCGGTGTGAGGCTAGACTACGAGCAGTCTCTCTTTTGCTCGAAAATCCGTGGGGAAAAACGTAAATGCACCGATACTCGGTGAATTCTTGGCGAGCCATCGGCGAGGTATCTGCGAGGTATCGTTGAAGTATCGGTGAGCTAAAAGCTGTATCGGCCGACATACATCTCGACCGATATATCGACTGAGTGTCGACCGAGGATCGACCGAGTGTCAACCGTCTTTTGGTTGACTATCGACCGATATACCGGTCAAGAGTACCTACAGTAAACATGATCTATTTACTCTACCTCGTTTTATTGGGTTCCGTTCGTAGTGATCTTATCAATAATATATCTTTATCATCGAGCGACAGATCAAACAGATTGATCCATACTCTGAATAACGTTTTCAACTCAGATCAAACAGATTGATCCATACCCTGAATAACGTTTTCAGCTCATATTTGTCATTTTTCATTTGTTTTTTGCAGTCTGTTGGTCCCTCTACTAAAATTTTTATTTTCATCATTTTACACTCACAACACATCCCACGCACACAACTCCTTTCCCCTTATCAACATATTATTTTTGTGGAGAATTGGAAACCCTTTCGCGAGAGATTCCATACTTTTACACCTTTTATGCCCTAAGAGTTGTTAGATAAATCCATTGCATCTAAAAAAAATTTTTATGAAAAACCATCAGTTTTCATCCTTTGTGTTCTTCCTTAAACCCTTTCATGCTATGGCATTGTCATCGTGCGAAAAGGTTTCTGGTTCTAATCCAGAAATTGTTGTCTTGTGTTGACCGTTCTGAATTTTCCATCCTCAAGTTTCAGAAAACAGCTCTTCAAAAAGCTGAACGCAACAATCACAAAACCATAGTTGAGCTGCTCCTGAGGAATGACGCTAAACTCACTTGCAAACAACCGGTAAAGTAATTAAGTGCATTGTCTCCACAGGCGGCCCAAGCGTACTGTGTGTGATTTTGGGGTCTAAAGTTCATTGACGGCAGTAACTAACATATTAAGATCGAATTTTAGGCGTACGTTTGGGCCGTTAAAAAATGGAAAAATTATAAAAGAAATTCAGAAAAATTTAAAAGGATAATAGAAGGGAGGAATAAAACGTGTGAAGTCTCCTTACCTTTTTTCAGTAGCCGCTTTGTTCCCAACGGTCGTTTTAACGCTGTTTTGGCGACGTTCTTTGTAACGCACGCGCTGTCACCAGTCGACTGTTTAATAGGAAAAATTACAAAAGAAAATTAAGAAAATATTGAAAAGGATAATAAAAGCGAGGAATGTATCATATGGAGTCTCCTTACCTTTTTTCCGTACTACTTTGTCGTTTACGGTCCTTTTAACGCTGTTTTGGCGACTGTCTTTGTAACGCGTGTGGTGCTACCGCTCAACTGTGTAGAAAAAAACTCAAGCCTGGAAACTTCAACCGGTCCCGAACACCAACCGTCGCCACTCGAAGGCCGATAAATTCCACAAAAGGCGACCGATCTCCCTGAAATTTCCACCCGCGAGAGCGCTTAGCTATTACCTACCCGTTCCAGCGGCAAAAGTTTCTAAATTCCGCTGCATCGATCCTGGAAACGAGTAGGTAATAGCGTTGGTGTTCGGGACTGGTTGAAGTTTCCAGCCTTGAGTTTTTTTCTACACAGTTGACCGGTAGCACCACACGCGTTATGAAGAAAGTCGCCAAAACAGCGTTAAAAGGACCGTAAATGACAAAGCAGCTACAGAAAAAAAGGTAACGAGACTTCATAGGATACATTCCTCGCTTTTGTTATCCTTTTTAATTTTTTCTTAATTTTTTTTTGTAAGTTTTCCTATTGTACAGTTGACTGGTGACACCGCACGCGTTACAAAGAAGGGCGCCATAATAGCCTTAAAACGACCGATGGTAACAAAGCAGCAACGGAAAAAAGGTAAGGAGACTTCACACATTTTATTCTTCGTTTTTATTTATTTATTTATTTATTAAACTTCCACTGAGTTAAAAAAAGTAAAAAGATAAAAAAAGATAATAAGAAGGATAAATAAGCTCAATAGTAAAACGAAAAGTGTGGGCGGCCGTCACCACCAAAAATACAAGGATGTCAAATAGATCAGTAAATACAAAGATGGTGTAACGATCAGCTGCAGGGTAGCATAGCTAATAAAGGAATGGCATGGCCAAATTATAGACAGTCTAGGTGTCCTTCCTGAAACAGAACACCCTAAACATAAATAGTTAAGCCAAATGATAAACGTTCTAGTTGCCCATGTCAAGTTGGAACATGAAATTGTGAAATGGACCAGCTAAATTGCGAATAGTCTAGCACTCATATGCAATACAGTACACAAACGGTGTAGCTTTGCGTCAAATGACTCAGGATAATGCGGAGTAGCACAGCGTACGCACAAACGGTGTAGCTTTGTGTGAAATGGCTCAGCATAATGCCGAATAGTACATCGTACATACAAACACTGTAGCCTTGCATGAAAAAGCTCAGCGTAATGTGGAATGGTACAGCGTACACACAAATGGTGTAGCGTTGTGCGAAATGGCTCAGCGTAATGTCAAATGGTACGGCATAATGTCAAATGGTACAGCGTACATACAAACAGCGTAGCGTTGCGTGGAATAGCTCAGCGTAATGTGGAATGGTGCAGCGTACACACAAACGGTTTAGTGAAGTAACGCTACACCATTCGTGTGTACGCTGTGCCATGCGACATCACGTTGAGCCATTTCACGCAACGCTAGACTGTTTGTAAGTACGCTGTGCCATTGTACATTACGCTGTTCCATTTGCGATTTGTATTTTTGGTGGTTTCGGCGAGATAGCGATCTGCTGGGGGCATGACGTCATCGAGTGTGAAGAATTGCGCGAAACCATCACATTCTGTAGTCGCTGTGTTAAAGAGCCTTCACTTCGCCTTGCCGTAAAGCAGAACCAATTCGGTAAATTTCTCCAACGAAAACTCATTGAAAAGAACAGGTAATGTTGCCAAATACTTTGCAAACAAAAGCACGTGCTTGAGTTTTCGTTGCGTTGCGAAAGTGGGAAGTAGTAACCTTAAGCCGATTTTATTTTTCGTGAATTGTAGAAGGACAGTTTCCCTTCCCTTTACCACCCTGTTTTATGTCTGTGCGTTTTTTTACTTATTTTATGGCAGACGTGTCTCATCAAGAAAGGCATGTATGTGCTCAAAACCAACTCGGAAAAAAGGTTGCTTTGGCAAAAACTACATGTTTGATTGACAAATGTAAAAACAGATCAAGGCTCTCAGTTTTCTTACCATGGCGTCCAGGGCACACACAGAATCCAACTTCTAACGTACTTCTGCGATGTTCAAAGAGCCTGATCGAGAAAATAAAAATAGAAATTATTTCTACTATCACCGCACCCAGGAAAAAATAAATAAAAAAAGTAATATAATATACACCTCTTTAAAATAATAAATGTAAGCAGTCTTCCCTTAGCTTAATACTCTAATCGTACGGAAAACCAATTAACACATTCCGATATCACTTTGATTGAAAAATGTCAAAACAAATTAAGGCTATCAGTTTTCTTACCATGGCGTCTATG